CCCCAAAACCCCAAAACCCCAAAACCCCAAAACCCCGACTCAAAATATTCAGATTGATCTAGAACTATTGAATAACTATAGAGCCTTTATGGAAGGAATTAATCGTGAAATACTCAAATGATTCTTCCCTCAGAAGTTGGCATGCCAAAATGTCCTAATAAAGATAAGAAAACCCCAGTCCCTTAGAAGATGTAGTCTAGAGTCTTTATTTGATGGTAAACTTGGGGTTTCGTGATAAATTAGACCAATAATTAGCTGGATTGTGCTTTATTAATGAACTAGAATTATAATTCGTACTTCAGAGAATATGACATCGAGACACTGTAAGATACATTCTCTCCTCTTTTGATAGTTTGAAGCTTCTTGAGAGATGACTGGGAATGACCTATAGAGAGTTATTATGAGATGTCTGATTGGGAAATCGTACCTAGTTTTAAGCTCCATCCATCTTTCTCGAGTGTAGAAGGATCTACAACTTGGAGATTTTTTAGTTTAAACTTAAAATCAGCTTCAAAGAGGTATCCTTCTTGGTCATTTTTGAAAAGGAAACCATAGAATGAGCCGAAGAAGTGGGTTTTGTAGTAAATGTTTATAGCTCTTCTCCAGTACTTGGGCTGTTGAAAGGCCTCTTTTCTCCCTTCTCCTCAATTATCTCTCTGATCTCTTCATCAGTAAGCTTATCAGGGTCACGTTTCTCTTTTATTGAGCAAGGTTTTTCACCTGGTTTTAAGAAATTATGTTTAACAGAATAAGAGAAGCTTGAGCTTCTATTCACATCATCTCTTCTCAGATGCTTCGCTATTTTAGATTTTGGCTTGATTCAAAATTTCCAATAGTTTTCGTTATTACTTGTAGCATAATCTGCACTAGTCAGTTTCAAGTTTTCTAGTTTAGGGAAATCAACATAATTGTCAAGAGTAGTATTTTCACTTTCATTTTCAAAGACGAATGTTTGCCCAAAGTCATGAGATAAAGAGTAATAGTTCATTACCTCATCAGGCGATGATTCATTCACTATTTTCTTCTTCTTTCCTTTCTTCATTCATAGCTTAGCAAGATATCTAGAGGTATGCTTGACCAACGTGTTGTAACTGTACTTTGTAGAACAACCGTTTTCAACTCTTTTAAATAGGAAAAATTTCTCCTTGTTCGGCTTCACTTCAAGATATTTAAAAGAATCCTTTTTATCTTCAACGACTTTTAGTTGAACGTTACTACCAACTCTTTCTCATTTTAAAAGTTGAATGCCTTCTGTCCTATTGAATTGGACTTTTTCAACTACTGTGCAGCCAGTCTTTGAGAAGTTTGAGTAATAATAGAAACCATAGCCTGCAGTCTCCTCTCCAAGATAATACTTGGACATTAAGTCAGGGTCAGAACTGTTTATTGTTACCTTTTCAATTTTATTTCTAGCATAATCCTTCAAGGTATTCATGAAGAAGCCTTCAAATTCTGAGTGAGGAATCTCTTCAGCTTTGACACTGTAGCCAATGACGTTACAGGCGAATTCGTTGATAACTGAATTGTTCCAGTCTAGTTGAACAAAGAGATAGTATGTTCCTTTCTCCATTAATTTTGGGGCCTCTACATATACGCTTTCTTTCTGATATCTGTAAGCTCCAACAATATGTTTAAACGGATTATGACTATCGTTGGTTTTATTTGCCAACCATCACTCTGATCGTTGCTGGCGTATACTCAGACCCATCAAATAGTCTAGTCATATATTGATGGATATTAACGGCTAGAATGCTCTTAGACGGCAAAGTAATTTTGATAAGGCAGTATGATCCCTTCTTTTGTTTTATCCTCAATGAATCTAAGTCAAAGAACGAGTCTCATTTTCATATCGTTACTGAGTCAAAGCTTTTGCAAAAATCTCTAAAGCTCATGAAGAAGTCCCCTTTCTCTCTTTTATCAAACTTCACATGCATTTTGAGCTCTTCAGTCCAGTTAGGGTCATCCTCTCACCATCTCCCTCTGTATGATTGCTTACCCCAAGGGTTTGAAATTTTTATGAGAAATTCTGTCGCTTTCCTGACCTCAACTTCAAAAGCTCCAATTATAGAGTATCAATGATCTGTCACCAAACCAGTCTCAGGATCTTCTTTTTCTTCAGTTGGGTGTTTAGACTCCTCCTTTGAAGCATTAGAAGAGCCAGTTATGAAATACTGATAATTAAGAGAGGTCTTGATTTCATCCCAGAGCTTCTCTTCACCCACTTCTGAATCTCTCGTCCTGAATTTAACTATAGGGTAAGGAATTAGAGTTCTAAATGATTCTCATGATGACCCAGTGACAATGTCTTCATAGCTTCCGTTAATCTTTGCCCAAGCCTTCTCTAGCAAAATAGGCCAAATGTTCTTAGTTTTCTTGCCTGCAAAGGTCGGAGTCTTCCTGATCTTGTCATAGGGTATGTAGTCATCAACAACTATGATCCTCGGTTGCCCGTTGACTAAGAGTCTCATTGCATAAATTCCAGCTTTATTAAACCTCTTGGTCACAAAAATCTTCTTGATTTCGTATGGCTGCAATTGTGCGAGACTGCAAAGACTTGATATGAAGTATCAGTCACCGATCTCTCCTTGTTCAGCATCTGAAGGAGAGATGGACTTCACCACGTCAAGCTCTTCTTTGGGATAAATATCCTGAATTCTTTTCCAAACAACTCTATTTTTCCAGTGTTTCACCTTTTCAGCATCAAACTTCTTCTTGTTTTTAGAAAATATTGAGGAGATTTTAGGTGGAAATTTCTTGTCAGTGAATTTCTCACCTTTCAAGATCACTTCCTTGACAAACTGCTCAGGATCAGAAGTCAAAGCACCCGGGATATGAGTCAAATTCTTGATTCGCTTCAGGACAGTTTCCATTTATTAGTTTATTGATTATTTGTATGTGGGTTTTATCAATGGTGAACCCTACGTTGGGGTTTTGGGGTTTTGGGGTTTTGGGGTTTTGGGG